AAAGTAAGCACTAATATACAACATTCAAATTTCAGAGGTATTTTATATTCAAATTCTGATGGCACATATTTACTTCCATAGGTACACTAATGCTAATGAAAGTGTGCATGATTGTTAATCTGAATATGTAACTCAGATTTCAAAACACATATCAAAAAATTGTGGTACAAATAGCTCTGACTCAGTCCGACTCAAATATTGAGCATCTGTTGGCATAATTTTTCCAATTCTTGGCACATACAGCATTCTTCGTTTAGTCTGGATTCTTCTTCTTGCTGTGGAAAATCCCCCACACAGCATGACGGTGGCAGCACCATGCTTCATTGTTATTGCTGTGCTCTAAGGGTGATGCTTTCTAGATTATTGCTTGATATTTTATTGCATGCACTCCATTTCTGGCCCTTGGCTGCTGGATCTCCCTTTTGAGCTTTGCGCTGTGTGAGATGTCTGGGATTGGGGTTGACCCTTACATAATGCATCGTGTGAAGAAATGTTTTCTGTGGGGTTTGATTCTATAGTAGGTGGCAGTTTGTTTTGTCCTTATTTGTTATGCTGTCTTTCTGTTTCCTGGAGGCTCGGGGATTTGGAGTCTTTGAGCTGTCAGATGGAATAGGGTTAGTAAAAGAAGAAAGGGCAAGAAAAAAAAGATATGAGACAGAGTGGGAAAAAAGAGACATAAACAAAGAAAGAGAAGAAAAAGAAACCAAATTCAGTTGGACCAAAAAAGATTTATTCAGCCAGGCTTTCCTTCTGTAATGCTCGCAAAACCTTAATATTTTGTACGAAGGGTATAGAACTGTCAAGTTGGGTGGAGGTTTGAAAAGGACCCAAATGCAGAGACTGAAGCTGGAGGTTATTTTCAGATTTATTATCCAAAAAAATCAAAAATACAAAAAACATAAATCCACAAAAACTGAGAACCAGGAATACTCACAACAAGGGGCAAAGAAATTACGGCAAACCAGCAACAGTGACTGAGCAGGAGGTGCATATATGGGAGAGAGAAACAAAGACCAGGCTTATCAGCAGATTGGGAGCAGGTGTGAACAGAGGAGTCTAGAAGGGATGAAGGGAAATGGAGACTGATACAAGAGGGAAAATAAGAAATACCTAAGAACTCAAATACAATAAAAAAAAATAACTAGAATAACACAAAACTGAAATAAAACCAGTGAAAACTCAAAGAAACTTAAACAGAACCAAAACCATGACAGGAACAGGTAATAGAAGAGCGTTTTGTGTTTAGATGCTCATGAGATGTTTGATGTGATAGAGTGGCCTTATTATGTTTATGATGCTTGAGAAATTTGGCCTCAGGGTCACTTTCATAGATTGGGTTAAAATCTTATTTAGTAACAAAATCATCAATTAGTAAGAATGGGAATATCCAATCTGCTCTCTCTGCCTTGTGGCACGTGTCAGGGAACCCGTTGTGCATCCTGCTGTTTATTTTAGAGCTGGAGCCTCTGGTCTTTGGCATTAAAGGAGAGCTACACCTTAAAGACATCAAGTTAGTTGACACAGAGACTTATGTGAACCTGTACGCATATTATCTACAATATATAATATACATTTCTGTGGATTGTTACCTAAATCTGTTGAACATAATCATGTCAATAGCGCCTCTAAAAATATATTTACTATGAAAAATGGTGGTGTGCTCAATACTTATTTCATGCGCTGTATAGCAGATAACCTCTAAATAAAATATTCTTCAATGATGAACTATTTTCATTATCTGGGGATTAAACTGAAAGCTCAAAGCTAATTTGACAGAATCTAGAGAAATACTCAAAACAAACTGCTGAGTCTTGGAGAACCAAGCTCTTCTACTTTTTTGTAAATTTCTCCATATTCTTAAATGCATCTGTTTTTTAAGAAGTTGTATTCAATTATATTGTTCTTTATGTGTGGCCACAATTTACACAAGGGTATATTAGGTTTATAAACTTACCAATAAGGAAGGTTTGGGCCTGATTTTAAGCACTATCAATTGGATGCCAGCTCCAAATTTTACAGTTTTTGTTATCTTGAAGTCAGATATGTGAAGAAGAATCACCCACATCTGGATTTTATACCCGCCTCTGATCATTTTATCAAGAGCATCCTGCTCTCCCTGGACACTAGGCAGCTAATATCAACCTTTCTCAGCTCTTTCACCAACAAAGTTTCCTCTGATTCAATTGGGACCCTTGGGCTAGAGACATGAACTCTGTAATATCAGGAAAATGTTGGGAGGAGGGCCTGTTTTTGGTTCATTGTTGCTCTATTAACTCTCAGTATCAGCTAATTCAGTTGAAGGTACTACACAGCTTGCAGAATAAAAAACAAACAAACAAAAAAACACATCTTTGTCCCTTTTATTTGATAAGTGCCTTATTCCCGAAGGCTCACTACCACCTCTTTTCTGGCTCCAACCTAAACTGCTTGATTTCATGTTTGCTGCATTGAAATAGGTCTTAAAATCGTACTCTTGAGACGTTTATCCTAACCCCATCCTGGCCTTCATTAGATGCTTTTTACATACTTCTGATCTACAGCATAATATCAGTAAGGGACATTGGTTGCAAAGAAACATATTCGTTTAACCAGTAGTCTTCCACCACACTCACGTTTGCCTACTGGCTCAGAGAAATGCTGTCAGTAATTCAAATAAAATGACTTTGTAAACACAAACCAACTGACAGAACACATTTGAGAGGATTTTGGGAGCTTTCCTGGCACAGTGTTGCAGAGTGCGACAAGCTCACAGGCGTGATAACAACCTGTAAGGCCTTAGGAGCAAATTTGACACTAAACTCAATTATTTTCCATGGAACTTGTTCAACGTTTATCACTATATTTTTTTCTGTAAACCTGATCTTGTCAACAATTTTTGGAGTGTGTGGAAGTTATGGGGTTCTTACCTGTCCTATAAGGTAAAAAAATAAATAAATAAACGTAGTATAAAAAGGCAAAGAGACAAAAAAGGTGAAGGGATCAATTAAATAGAACTATATGTTACCAATTATTCTAATCAAGAGAAAAATATTCCCAAAATCTGAAATATAAAGCAATCTGTCAGAGAAAAATAGTCAATATAAATAAAACTAAAAGAACATATTTGATTTCCAGTTTTAAAGTTAGTCTAATTTAATGTAATATGTACAGCTAATCTCAGAAAGAAACATCACAGGAAGGAAAAAAATTTTTCCAGAACAACAAGGCTCTACTGGAAATGTGTGCTGTGATATAACAAGAAAACTTAGAGATTATGACATATGAAGTTTTCATCAAGAAAAATAAATCATCTTAAACTTAGACATGCAGGTAAACACTGATTTTAGTCATAGGGTTTAACTATATTGATTTAATCCACCGACTGCTTACCAAATGTTAAAAACATATTTAAAATCTCATAAAATACTTCAAATTCCAAGAGGAAACAGTGTCTGTGTTGAATATAAATGACCATTAAAGATCAACAGTAGACAATCCAAAACAAATTCACTATATCACTTAAATGTGGGGAGTGGTAGGGCATAGAGTTTGGAATCCTGAGGTTCTGAGTTCGAGTCCCACTCCCACAGACTGCCGTCTGGGTCCCTGAGCAAGACCCTTAACCCCAAACTGCTCCCTGGGCGCCCCACGATGTTTGCTTTTTTTGCGAGTTATTTTTCATCAGACATCTGCAGATGTTCCAGCATGTCTCCTCTTGTTTCATCTCTTTCTCTTCTCTGTGGGACCGGATTATCAGCAGGACAGCAAAGGATGGACAGTCGCTAGAAAACAAGAAATTATCTTTTGTTTTAAGTTTCAGGAAATCTGTTATTGTGTATATATGGATTCAGTGTTCCTTTTGTTTCCCCTGACCTGTCTGATGGTTCCTGTTGTAACGCACAGCTGTCCAACTGCCCAAAGAGGCACCATGGCTACAGAGGACAGAGTCAGGATCCACCCCAGTGCATAAGACCAGTCAGGGTAAACATACCAGTCGTTGATCCTTAGGTGTTGGTAATCAACCAGATACAAGATGAGGGAAACCTGACAAGTTACATGAAGAAATAACTAAGTTTAAGGTTAAATATTTTGTAGACCAACTGATACTGCTGGAAAAGCACATTTTAATGTTCAAAATAAAGATTAAGAAAATAAAATGTGCTTTTAAAACTGAAGCAGAGTAGGAAAACATTTTCACAAGAGTGTCTGTCCATCCGTCCATCCATCACTATTATCTTGCCCAGGAGGCTTCCTAAGTAGATGGCTGTTCTACATCGGCTGAGTTCTTTTTATGCAGACGAGCAGCAGCTCTATTCCAGGCATCCCGATGATGGAGCTCCTCTCCATATATCAAATGGCTGCCTCCACTGGTAGCTAATTTTGCCTGTTTGTATCTGGTAGCTCAGTTTTTCTAGCCTGACGTAGTCCGACTCAATTCTAGTCAGAATATGAGTCTGATACTGCTCCATAGAGCTGTGATTATGGGGCGTGTTTTGAACGAACCAGGAAAAAAATTCCTCTGGACTCTATTGGATAGACCTACAACCAATAAGAG